TAATGAAGTTTTTATATAAAATATATCCTTAAAATAGATCAGCAACTTTTGATAGCCCTGTATAAATTTAAGGAAGCAATATTATTTTTCAGTAAAGTTTATTTCTCTACCTTTAAACTCAGCATAAGAATTAATTCTGAAAAGTAATGTATAGGGTGTTAATAATCTATTCTATTGTAGCATGCAAATTTAAATATTTTTAAATATCTCAAAAACTAAAGATTTTAAACATATTTAACCCTTATAATAAATGCCTTTTTTGGGCCCAAGAATCGAAAAAATGAAATAAAATACCGGGTGTTCCGTAAGAAAAAATATAACTTTGGTATGGATCTTAGTTCTGACACACCCTGTACATTTCTAAATGATTTTAAATTATGAACATTGCCTCCCACATATACCCATAAAATATTTTGGGTATATGTTGTTTTCGTATAATCAACCGAGGCGAATGAGGTGCGCCACCCTGTATAAATTAGAAACCTGTACTTTAATGCCTTTTGCGCCCTCTGGCGATGCGGAAGACACTAAATTTGTAGTTGGATAAATTTTCATTGAGTGTCTAGGGCCTGTTGCAATGCTATTCTAAAATTTACATCAATCAGCTGAAAATATTTGGTTCGTTCGTTCATTCGTTTTTTGAATTAATGAGTTATTCAATATTCAAATTTTCCTTACGTTGTATCGCGTGGTATCTGAATGCACGGGAATTTTTCTTTAAAATTAATGCGCCTTGCATGTGGTCATATCTAATTTTTAGAACGAACAGTTCTTAAATCTAATTTTTCAGATATGGAAATAGAATCAGTAATTGGTGTGGTAATTACATACAAAAACATCAACGTGTTTAGGTGGAACTATTTATAAATAATAATTTATATATAGCTATAGCATGATAATCATGCAAGTATTTCGAATTAAAAAATAAACATGAATTATTTTAAAAAGATATACAGGGGGTCCGAATTGTATTCCGGAAACTTTGGCTGCATATTCTGTAGATAAAAATAAGTAAAAAAGTTCATATATAGAAATGTATGTCCTAAAATGCTTGGTTTTGGGAGATACAGGGTGTAGAAGTTTCATTTTTATTGCTATTTTCTCCAAATAATTTCTGAACTATATCTAGTGGATATTTGGATGAAAATTGGTGTCTCTGTGTTTTTTGACATGAGAAATCTGATTTCGATGTGAATATGACTATGTCTATTTTTCTATGTCAATATGACGGGGATGTATATTTTTTCTCTCAGTAGTGTTATTCAGGTACGGTCGAAAAGTTATTACTCTTCAGAACAGCTAAAAAATATGTAGGTGGTGCCCCCTACATGTAGGAGTTCATACTGACATCGAAATCGAATTTCTCATGTCAAACACTCAGACACCAATTTTCATTCAAATATCGGCTTTACTTCAGAAATTATTCGGAAAAAATCGAAATAATAATTAAACTTCTACACCCTGTATCTCCGAAACGAAGCATTTTAAGACATACGTTATTTATACGAACTTTTTTACTTATTTTATTATTATTTTATCTGGACAATATACTGCCGAAGTTTCCCGAATACAAGTCGGACCACACTGTAGATCTGGATATCTATATGACATAAAAGAATATCAGGTATGATTTTAGGATCTTATAAAATTTAAATGAAATGATAAGTTGCCTATTAAAAAATTAAAGTTGCCTTTTAAAATTAAAGTTGCCTAATAAAAAATTGATGTTGCCTTTTAAAAATATTTTTATTTGTTTTAGTAGTGGGACGAACTTGAAAATGCAAACCAACTACAGTAAAATACAAAAGTTTTCAAGAATTCTACTATACTTTCCATGGGATTTAAATTAAAATAGTTTCAAATACATTTTACTTCTTGAATAAAAAACGAATTAAATTATTCAATTAACTTTTTTATTTAAATAATATTTTCATTACAAAATTCAAATACAATGTATCAACATTATTTTCATGCGTTTTGTATTGTTTCTTTAGCTGATAGCTTCTTTAGGTTTAAAAGTTTTATTTTCGAATGTTAAAGTAACATCTAAGACACTCATGTTGGGTGTTAGGAATTGTTACAGTGTGTCAACTTCATCTCTGGGCAGTCTATCAAACGGATAACCCATTGAACGACGGTCAGGATACAGCTTATCTTTAAGACCACAATAAGAATACGAGTCATTACATTCTCCAGTAACTTCCTGATCCACTTTATCATCGGCTATGTTTGATATCATAACAAATAATTGACAAGGCAATCCTTCAGGAGTACCTTTGGGAATAAGGAGATATCGGGCCATCCGCAACCACAAGGCATCACCTCCTTCTGGTCTGGAGGTATCTACATCTCGATATGTCCTTTCCAAAGGAATTGTAACAGACGAATCGCTGGAATTACGCATGATGGTGTTCTTTCCTTCTTTCAAATTAACTTTAGATTTATCCAGTTCGATAAACATATATTTTTGGTCTGTAAATAGCCATGCATCGTTATGTTCATCAAATTTTTTTATGTCACTCCAGGATAATTAAGTTGATTTACAGTGTACTTTGGAAGGGCTGACTTAAATTTTTGGAAAAGTTCGTCGATGTAGGAATGCCAGGGGTAGAAAATGGGATCTCTCATTGCCGAATCACCAATTACTCCGAAAGATTCTAAATGTCTGTGATCTGAGCTAGTAGCCTAGTAGCCTAGTAGAATAATTCCCCTCTCCGATTTTTGTTTACCACGGTTGCTTGGGTAGACTAAGTGACAATGCCAGTGATGAAGATTCAGTCCAATATCTTCTGAAGTACGCCAAGCGATGTTCTTCTTCTAAATCGGAAGCTGTAAAATCTTTAGGAATCTCAATTGGTGTCCGGTCATTTTCGGGTACTACTGTAGCATCTTCCAAAGCTTGTTCAAATACTTTGCTGTCCACATACTTATCTGGGAAAGAGTGGATTATAGACGGGACATCTAAGTCTTGAGTATCGGCTCTGTGAAGAATTGCCACAGATAGCCAATAGTTGAATAAATAAGGATTGACTCGATCTCTGGCGTAAACTGCAACGGCTATAAGGTCTTGCACATTTCGTACTTCTAAGAAGATATTTATTAATCTTCCAGCTATTCTTTGGTGCTTTGGTATGAAGAGAGTGAAGTTTTCGTCCCTTGCCAGGTCCAAAATTTCACCAAGGTCTGGAATAGATATCTTGTTGACAGCAATTTGTTCCGATGCTTCTGATCCAAAACGGCTGGCACCAATTTTCATCCAAATATCGCTTTACCAGAGAAATTATTCGGAATAAATGAAAATAAAAATGTAACTTCTACACCCTGTAGATATCTCCGAAACGAAGCATTTTATACACTTATATCTTTATACAATTCGGACTACTCGGTTTATTTATGTATATCTGGATATGATTTTAGAATTTTATGAAATTCAAATGAAATGATAAGTTGCCCATAAGTATTTTTTTTGTAGTGGGCCGAACTTGATAAATTCAAACCAAATACAGCATAAAAAGTTTTCAAGAATTCTACTTTATCTACTCACGATGGGATTAAACCAACTAAAATTAAAATAGTTTGAAATAAAAACAAATTAAATTATTCAATTAACTTTTTATTTAAGCAATATTTGCATTATAAAATTATTTGGATCCAAATACAATGTATCAACATTATTTTCATGCATTTTGTATTGTTTCTTTAACTGATAGCTTCTTTAGGTTTAAAAGTTTTATTTTCGAATGTTAAAGTAACATCTTGGACTCTCATGTTGGGTGTTAGGAATTGTTGTAGTGTGTCAACTCCATCTCTAGGCAGTCTATCAAACGGGTAACCCATTGAACGACGGTCAGGATACAGCTTGTCTTTAAGGCCACAATAAGAATACGAGTCATTACATTCCCCAGTAACTTCCTGATCTATTTTATCATCAGCTATGTTTGATATCATAACAAATAATTGACATGGCAATCCTTCAGGAGTGCCTTTGGGAATAAGGAGATTATCGGGCCATCCGCAACCACAAAAATTAAAACGAGCCAAGGCATCACCTCCTTCTGGTCTGGAGGTATCTACATCTCGATATGTCCTTTCGAAAGGAATTGTAACAGACGAATCGCTGGAATTATGCATGATGGTGTTCTTTCCTTCTTTCAAATTAACTTTAAATTTATCAAGTTCGATAAACATATGTTTTTGGTCTGTAAATAGCCATGCATCGTTACGTTCATCAAACTTGGGTGCTAAAAATATTCTACATGTCCCTTCACGTGCCGAATCACTTTGAACGTCAATTTTATACGTAAAAGGTCTATGTTGAAGATGAGTGAATCGAACAAAGACAGCACCGCGAGGCTGAAAGTCCATTCCTCGTGATAAGTCTACATCCGATTGTTGCCAAAAGGTTTGTAGGTTGTTTGTTTTTCCTCCTTGCACATCCACTTCAATACCTTCAACTGTCACTCCAGGATAATTAAGTTGGTTTACAGTGTACTTTGGAAGGGCTGACTTAAATTTTTGGAAAAGGTCGTCGATGTAGGAATGCCAACGATAGAAAATGGGATCTCTCATTGCCGTGGCCGAATCACCAATTACTCCGAAAGATTCTAAATGTCTGTGATCTGAATCATGAATATATGACAGGAAAACATGCCCCATATTATGGAGATTACCGTAGAATTCTCCGTTTGGAGACAGAATACTGGCTTCTACCATATTACCTAAAATATCAATACCTTCGGTTTCGTTCAGTTCTATAATTTTACCAGTGCTGTCAGTAACTGATTTTGAATTGATAGCCGCAAAAATTCTGTCTCTCCATCGTTTTAAGTCATCTAAATCGAGTTTTAAACCGTTAGTTTCTCTTCTAAGATTTCTTATTCTTTGATTTTCAACTCTTGCAGGCCAACCTCTACTTGCTACTAAACTGTCCAATTTAGGAAAATATGCCTCCTTAATTGGTTCATCCCAGTCGATAAGACGTTCGACTCTTTTCATTTTATTGCATAACCGTTCAAAGTTGTATCTGGCCATAATCTGTTGATGCATATAATAGAATAATTCGCCTCTCCGATTTTTGTTTACCACGCTTAACTCAGCATTGCTTGGGTAGACTAAGTGCCAATGCCAGTGATGGAGATTCAATCCAATATCTTCTCTGAAGTACGCCAAGCGATGTTCTTCTTCTAAATCGGAAGCTGTAAAATCTTTAGGAATCTCAATTGGTGTCCGGTCATTTTCTGGTACTACCGTAGCATCTTCCAAAGCTTGTCCAAATACTTTACTGTCCACATACTTATCTGGGAAAGAGTGGATTATAGAAGGGACATCTAAGTCTTGAGTATCGGCTCTGTGAAGAATTGCCACAGATAGGCAATAGTTGAATAAATAAGGATTGACTCGATCTCTGGCGTAAACTGCAACGGCTATAAGATCTTCAACATTTCGCACTCCTAAGAAGATATTTATTAATCTTCCAGCTATTCTTTGATGCTTTGGAATGAAGAGAGTGAAGTTTTCGTCCCTTGTCAGGTCCAAAATTTCACCAAGGTCTGGAATAGATATCTTGTTGACAGCGATTTGTTCCGATGCTTCTGATCCAAAACGACTAGCTACTTGGGTACCAACTGGTTTATATTTATCTGTAAGATATTCAGCAGGAACAACAAAGGCTTTTCTCTCGTTGCCTTTAGGCACGAACACTGGCTCTTTTGGGCGGTCAAAGAGCAACAAGAGATTTTTTTTATCACCAGACATCTTGTAATTAAATGAAATTTCTACACTAAAATAATAAATTTATATGTACTGCTTAATATGATCTAGTCAATAATAGATTTTTGAAATGTTTTGTTTTGGATTTTATACTAAAATATTGCATTTATCTGACCACATATGTTATGTACTGCATTTTCTCATAGAAATAAAATTGTTTACTAGTGGTTTTCTATTTTGTGTTTACTACGAAGCTCATTTTTCAGTAACTTTTAGAAAAAAAATCCGAATATAAGATTGAAAGGGAATAAAAATGATTACAGTGAAAATTATATAAAGGAACTCTGATCTTTAATTTTTTTTAATGAAGTTTAATTTCTTTTCTAGAAAAAAAGTTATTATAAACATGGGTACGAAAATGCATAGTTTTGAATTACAGGATGTTAAAACTGAAAAAAATATATTTTTTTGTAATTATCTTAAATGTCATTATTTTTTTCTTGAATTTGCTGTAGGTAGCACTGAAAATCATTTATAACTAATTAATTTTATTTTTATTTTATTAATTGTGATTAATAAAATTTCGTTTATCTCATCAAGGAGATCGAAATCGACAAAATATCAAGATGATACTTTTCTTCTTCTTCTTCCTGTGCCTTGTGCTTAGCCGCACGTTGGCGATTGTCTGTACTCTTTATACAATGTGTAGAGTGCCGTTTTCGGCTCTTCGAAATATGGTGGCTGCGTCGCTGATGTTACACCAATCCCATATGTTTCTTAGCCAGGAATGTTGTTTTCTTCCTGGGCCTCGCCGTCCCTCTATTTTTCTTTGTAGAATCAGCTTAGGAATGTAATATTTGTCTCCTCTAAGGATATGGCCGAGGTATGAGACTTTCCTTTCTTTAACTATATTAAGTATTTCTCGTTCATAGCCTGCAGTTCTTAAAACTTCTTCGTTGGTGGCATGTGCGGTCCATGGCACATGTAAGAGTCTCCGGAGAGTCCACATTTCGAAAGCCTCGATGCGGTTCAGGGTTCTAGCCTTGAGAGACCAGGTTTCTGCGCCGTACAGTAAGATGGGCCATATGTAGCATTTTACTACCCGTAGTCTAAGTGTTAGCGGGAGACTGCGTGCTAATAAGAAGTTTTTAAGTTTAAAAAATGTTGACTTTGCATAATTCGTTCTAAGTTTAACTTCCTCATCGCAGTCCCATCGTTCATTGATCATGGCACCCAGATATTTAAATCGTGGAACTCGCTCTATAATATTTCCCTCCATGGTCAATGCGGTGTTGATTGTAGACTGGCGTCCTATTACCATAAGTTTGGTCTTGGCAGAGCGTTGATTTTAAGACCGAAACGATTTCCCATGTCCCCTATCTTATTTATTATTTGCTGGAGATCCTCTAAAGTTGGTGCTAGTATTGCCTTATCATCTGCATATCTAATATTGTTAATTGGAACTCCGTTAATCTTAATTCCTCCACTTTCTCCTTCCAGGGCCATTTGAAATATTTTTTCGACGTATATATTAAAAAGTATTGGTGACAGTATACAGCCCTGACGGACTCCTTGACACACATTGAAGGTGTCTGTGGATAAATTTTTGTTAACTCTTATCTCCGCGGTTTAGTTCCAATATACTTTCTGTATGATTCTAATGTCTTTGGCGTCTATTCCTATCTCGAGCAGTCTGTTTAGGAGAATATCGTGTTTAACGTTGTCGAAAGCCTTCTCATAATCTATGAAGCACACAAAGACATCTTGGAGTTGATCATAACATTTCTGGATTAAAAAGATAAAAAAAAATTATAGACTCGAAGAAAAAGTTTCAGAGCATGACTCATTAGACTTATAAGTCTGTAATCACTACAGTCTTTTGGAGATGCCTTTTTGGGAATTGTTATAAAAGTTGATTTTAGCCAGTCGTTTGGAATTTTACCCGTATCGTATATTCGATTGAATAGAATAGATATGATACTTTTAATCGGCATTAAATGGCGTACACAATTTTGCTAACAAGAAAAAAGTCAGTGGCATACATGTTTTTTTTAGAAAAATATTCCAGTGATAACCTATATGTAAGCCCTTGATGAATCTGTTGGCCCTTTTTTAACCTACTAAAATATGTTACACTCATAGTAACTTTTACCGTCAAAATTTCATTCGAATCGCTAACTTGGAGGAAAATTAAAATAAATCGAAAAAAAAAATGAAAACTCCTGTAACTACGAAACAAAGCTGAATCGGATCTACGTTGATATAAAAAATTAGTCTTATTTTTACATGAGGAATTTCCACACGAGAGTTGGCATATGTTTTTTTGAAACACTTTGTATACAGGGTGGCGCACTTCATTCTCCTCGGTTGATTATACGAAAACGGAAAGATGTAGAAACAAAATATTTTATGGGTATATGTGGGAAGGCAATGTGCATAATTTAAAATTATTTTTAAATGTACAGGGTTTGTCAGAACTAAGATCCACACCAAAGTTATATTTTTTCTTATGGAACACCCGGTATTTTATTTTATATTTGGATTCTTGGACACAAAATAAGGCATAAGACAGTTAGTAGCTATTTTCAAAATCGAAATTAGTTTATGGACTTTATTTAAATTTATAGCAGTTTACTTTTATTTAATTTGCCCCTACAATAGTTTAATAAATAATATTTATTAAAGATGTATTTATTATTCTATCAAGAAAAACGAAGAAGTAGTTCTTTGATTTATTTTACGAGGACTTGTAGATATCTAATATCTATATGGATTTTCTACAAAAGAGGCATTTTCTTCACTTCCGACGACAGCCTAAGAGGTTTTTTATAAACTACACCACCAGCTAAATAGGACAAGTAATTTTTCAAAGGAACGCTTATCAGGAGATATTAACTATTTGGATATCTTTGAGCATAAGCCCTTGAGGCCAAGAAGGAATTTTCCTCATAAAATAAAATAATAACATATCCATTCCTTCCGCCAGCAGATACTACTTTATTTTTCTTGATAAAATAATGAATATTTACTTATTATACTATTGTATATGTTATAAATGCCTTTTTTTGGGCCCAAGAATCAAAAAATCAAATAAAATACCAGGTGTTCCATAAGAAAAAAAATATAACTTTGGTATGGAAACATACTGTATATTTCACAATAATTTTAAATTGTATTGCCTCCCCACATACACCCATAAAACATTTTGTTTCTACATGTTTTCCATATTATATTCCTATATTCCGTTTTCATATTATCAACCGAGGCGAATGAGATGCGCCACCCTGTATAATAAGCAATTTTTAGTAACTATTCCCGGTTAAACCGGAGATGCCTGGAATAGGAAAATATTTTAATGTGAAAATATACAATATGGTCAAAAAAAAACGGCGTTTGCGATGGCTATGAAATGAAGATTACTGTCATTTTATACGTAAAATTATATGGGAAATGTCATCGATCGTCATTTCCCAGTCAACTGGACGCCGTTTTTATTCGATCATACGGTATATTACCAATCCTTGAACAAAAAAGGATTTTTTTTTCAAAATTAAATCTTAAAAACTTTTAATGAGTTTGAACTTAATTTGTGCGAAAAATCCTGTAAACAAAAAATACAAAATGAAAAGTGATAGTTTGAGATACGTCTTGATGGAAAATCATTTGACTTTGTTTTTGAACAATTCCAATATCAGTCAACATAAACTGGGATAAAAGTCGAGTCAATATTCCCTCGGTGAATCTAGAGTTGTAAATGTAAAAATGATTTCTCTCTGTTGACAGTCAATAAAGGACACCGTTAGCTGAAACTTTTCCTATTTACTTTATATTGCATGTTTACGCTATTGAATCTCTCTGAAGTTTCTAACAATTGTGTGTATTGATCTTATTTAAATTCTTATTGGCATGTGAAGACTGGATAATATACCGGGTGCGTCTCAAAAGTGGCTCACCTCTATATAAGTTTTTTATTTTTTCAGTTAAGAAAACGAGATTTGGTTATGTTAGTATATGACATAAATTAGGATTGACTGACGTATTCAATTGTTTTCGGTCACTTTCTGTTTTCCGGAAATTACTACAACTTTTGATTTTTAAATGGCACCCTCGGTATTTTTTTAATTTAATGGCATTCTGAATAGAATGACATATCATATGTCAACTTTTGACATTTTCGCATACGGTTTATTTGAAATTGTAACGAAAATTCGACTCGAAATACCAAGTGTGTGGCATCAAATTATTCGTAAAAAATGCTCTTTCTAAATATGCTAATGAGCCACCCCTCGTTCAATTTGAAAAATGAAATACGATTTAAAATACGAATTTTTTAACCGGCCAGGACAAGACACTAAAAACATTATGCGATCAAATCTATTTTTCCAAGGCTCCTTGATTAAGAATTAGTATTTTTAATGACATATGATATGTCATTCTATTCAGAATGCCATTAAAGTAAAAAAATACCGAGGGTGCCATTTAAAAATCAAAAGTCATTTCTGGTGAAACAGGAAGTGACCAAAAACAATTGAATACGCCAATCAATTCTAATTTATGTCATATACTAACATACCAAATCTCGTTTTTTATCTGAAACAATAAAAAAGTTAGGGATGAGCCACTTTTGAGACGCACCCGGTAGATAGTATTGTTAGAGTATAAATTGTGTATTGTAAATGAAAGTATCAGTTCAGGATGTAGTGTATTTATGTGAATAAAAGGCATATGTTTTAAACTCTGAACTATTAAAAAATAATTAATATTTTTCTTCAATAAACAGTAATTACTACTAATAGACCAGTCGACAAGTGGTTTTAGGTGGAAATAATTAGGGGCAAGCTGCAATTAACACTTATTCTCTTTGTTTTGCTTTGTTGAATACTCGACTAAATTTGCACGGTCTATGGATCCCGGATTTGCCGCCATATTGGAAAATCTTGTCAAATTATGACATTTTTATGTTTTTTTTAAAAATAACTCGGTCTGGGTGCACTGTACAGAAAATTTGCAAGAAACCAAAAAGAAAGCTATTTAAATTCTCTACAAAATCCCTATTCATCGATTTCGTGCATGAACAGGTTAACGAGATACAGGCGCTTAAATATAAAGAATATATTTTCTAGTGGTTCATTTAATATGAGAAACTGATTCTATGTAAATTTGAATAATTGGCCAGTACAAATTTGTGTTTTTTTGTGCTCGTTTCCACACCACCTCGGCGCTCTTTTTTTAAATGGTTTTCCCTATAGGCCTAATCCACTTTCTTGCCGTTGCAAATGTTCTATTCATAAGAATAGAACATTTGCAACGGATATAAATCCATATGATATGATACGCTTTATAAGTATGTATTTTCACCGTCTGCTATTTTTTTGACGTAGAATATAAAGTATAAATTTGACGTCTTCGATATTTTCGTTGGTCATTAATTCTTCTAATCGAGAATCGATTTCTTCGTCGTCCCCTGGATCTTCTAGAGTTATTTCAGAATTTGAACACGCTCTTCCCTGACACGAACCGCACACTACCGAACAGTGCAATCCTGCTGTTTTGCAGCTGCAGGCTGCCTTTCAGTTCATTGGACGACTGCTTCCAACCCCAGTCAGTGGATATTTTTTCGTTACCGTACCATTTTTGGACTCGTAGGTATGTACGAAATGAGTGCATGCGAGCCGCATCTTCGGTTGGAGGAAGGGATGCAAGATTAAATAGACTCTTTGATTTTGAGTTTATAATCATCTGCTGATGATGCTAACATGGTTAGCGAAACGCGCGTCCAGTGTAAAAGTAAAAGTGTTTTGGTGTATTGTGGTGATTTAGTGTTTTTATTTTGCTGTGTGACACCAAAGGTTCCAACCCTCAACTGTAAAGACTCTTTGTTATAGATTGCGCAAAAAAATCGATGTCTATAGATGTGTAGTGATGTGTCGTCGCTCTTTGACCCATAAAGTGCAAGAAGAAATTGAATTCCAACTTTGGCTATGCTTTCTGGAGTTGCATTTGGGTCTCTAAAACAGTAAATGGCAATTTTCAAACTTGTCTGATTTCTTAGAACCTTAAGGAACTTCATTTTACCCTGCCTGTAAATTGCTGAAGTATTGTCGCACCCACTAAATGCATGTAAAAACAAATTGTTTTCTTTCACAGCCGTGTCCAATATTGATGCAGAGGGTGAACAGAGTGCATTTCCAGCTTTTTCCTTTCCTTGCTTTAAAAAGTAGATGTTATTCTGAGACTCGCATAGTGCAGTAAGTATAACCAGTAAATCAATGTTCTCGATTAGAAGAATTAATGACAACGAAAATATCGAAGACATAGACATTGAACAAGAACCAGATGAACAGTTTGATGAAGAATATATTCATGAGTCAATTGATCAACCTTCTACGTCAAAAAAAGCAGACGGTGAAAATACGAGTACATACTTATAAAGCATATCATGTCATATGGATATAAAAATAGAACATTTGCAACGGCAAGAAAGTGGATTAGGCCCATAGGGAAAACACAGCACAAAAAAACACAAATTTGTACTGGCAAACTATTCAAATTTACATAGAATCAGTTCCTCATATTAAATGAACCATTAGAAAATATATGCTTTGTATTTAAGCGCCTGTATCTCGTTAAACGAAATCGATGAATAGGACTTTTTTGTAGAGAATTTAAATAGCTTTCTTTTTGGTATCTTGAAAATTTTCTGTACAGTGCACCCAGACCGAGTTATTTAAAAAAAAAAACATAAAAATGTCATAATTTGACAGGATTTTCCAATATGGCGGCCAAATCCGGGATCACCGGGCGACCGTGCAAATTTAGTAGAGTATTCAACGAAGCAAAACAAAGAGAATAAGTGTTATTGCAGCTTGCCCCTAATTATTTCCACCTAGGCCTTTTTAAAACGACGTACCGACTGGCCTATACGATGTAATCACAAATAAAAATAATGTTAAACAAGCCTACATTCATAAAACATCTACTAAAACCGAGCCTATAAGCACAAAATATCTAGCTACGCAAGCGTAGCTAGATATTCTGTGCTATAGGTAATTGGTTATATACAGTATGTCCCTGGGTTGTCTTTACAAGATGAAACACACATGATGTTTTTTATTATTGACATTTTGAGAAAAATAAATTCTTCTTAAACATTTTTGCTTGTTCTAAAATCTTACATATCTATTGTGTGTCCCCCTTTCTTGAGTTATATCGAGTTATAAACTTATTTTGTCAACTTTATTCATCATACAGTCTCAGGGTTTTGACAAAAAAAATTAAACAATAGTACACTGCATATTGTGCATCAGGATAAATATCGTGACAGTAAATGTCTTAATAATGCCGTAATGTAATGTTATACCTGCCAACTGCGACAATGATTTATTTTTACAAAAATAAGTCAAGTAGAGTCAAACAACACAAAGTTGAGAAATATGTATACAGGGTGTTTCCTAATGACATACTAATATTTAAAGGGGTGATTCTTGGAGCTATTTTAAGAAACAAACTTCATATGAACGTATTTCCCAAACATTTTAACTTTTGAGATACAGGGTGGTAAACTTTTCTAAAAAAATATTTTGTTTCATAACTGTGATGTTATTATAGATATATCTATGAAACTGGATACACTTCTTCTATGAATAAAAATGCATTTTTTGAGGTACAAATCATTGTATTTATTTTAACCAGTGGCGTCTATACGGGTTTTAAATTGAAACATTTTAATGAAAAAAATGGTATCTACTCCACTGACTTCTCTTAAAATAAACATTAGTTTCAAAAAATCTTTCATTCGTTCGTAACAATAAATATCTCTTCGTCTGACTGACGTCATAGTTTTTCTTTAAAAAATTAAAATTATTTTACAAAAAAAAATTCAGATCTAAAATTTGTTTGGAAATCGTTTCTGCATTGGCTGTATGAAAATTAAACGATACAGCAAAAAAATGTTTGGTACATAAAAAACATTTTTATGCATAGAAGATCTGCATCAAATTTCATAAAAACCACAATAACATCAGAGTTATTAAAAAAAAATACCACCCTGTATCTCAAAAGTTAAGATGTTTAGGTTATACATCCATATGAAGTTTTTTTTCTTAAAATAGGTCCAAGAGTCACCACCTTAAATATTAGCATGTCATTAAGGAACACCTTGTATTTTTTTATTTTTTTTTTTGATAGATCTGATGTGAAGAATTTCCTGAAACACTATGCGACTGTTTTTTGTTTATAAAAATACTGTAGAAAGTAGAATTTTTTTATTTCTTTAAATGTAGGTTTATTACAGCCAAAGACGTGAAATTTTAAAACATTTTTTTAAATAAAAGGAAAATCAAAACGTTTTCATTTTTATGTGTATTATAATTTTCAGAATATTTTTTTAACTGTATTCTTTATTAAAATATCAATTATTACTCACACTGTATATATTATTTATTTATATTATTCAATATCGAAATTTCTATTACAATTAAAGTCATAATATCTGGGCTTGTGTAAATTAACTATTTAGTATAATTAGGGTCATATTTTGAAGTAGCAAGTAGGGTATTAAAATAAAATGTGGTCTATATAGTATTATTTTATTGAATTATTCTAATGTATCCAAGCAGTAACCAAATAACAACATAAAAGAAGAAACAGTATTTTAATATTTTTAAAGGATTAATTATAAAAAAAATGTAATGTAATAGTCCTGTAGCAATTCCATATTTCACGCCCTGTACAATATTTGTCTCTATAGTAAATGATTAATTAATTTTCCTTAGGCTTGAATGTTTTGTTTTCGAATTTGACTGTAACATCTTGGACCCTCATGTTAGGTGTTAGGAATTGTTGTAGCGTGTCAACTCCATTCCTAGGCATTCTGTCGAAAGGATATCCCATTGAACGGCGATCAGGATACAGTTTGTCCTTAAGTCCACAATATGAATAAGAATCATTGCACTCTCCAGTAACATCTTGATCCACTTTGTCATCAGCTATATTCGATATCATTACGAATAATTGACATGAAAAACCTTCAGGGCTTCCTTTAGGAATAAGGAGGTTATCAGGCCATCCGCAGCCGCAGAAGTTAAAGCGTGCTAATTCATCACCTCCTTGTGGTCTGGAGGTGTCCAAATCTCTGTATGTTCTCTCAAATGGAATGGTTACAGACGAATCGCTAGAATTTCTAGTAATAGTGTTCTGACCTTGCTTTAAATTTACCTTGAATTTATCCAATTCGATGAACATCAGTCTTTGGTCTCTGAACAACCATGGGTTTCCACGCTCATCAACCTTTGGTGCCAAAAATATCCTGCAAGTTCCTTCACGAGCTGAGTTACTCTGGACCTGGATTTTGTAGGTGAAGGGTCTGTGTTGAAGATGGGTGAATCGAACGAAGACAGCACCACGAGGCTGGAAGTCCATACCTCTCGACAGATCGACATCAGATTGTTGCCAGAATGTCGGCAGCACGTTGGGCTTTCCACCTTGTACGTCTACTTGAATTCCTTGTATTGTTACTCCTGGATTGTTGAGTTGGTTGACGGTGTATCTGGGTAGAGAGGTTTTGAATTCTTGAAACAGATCGTCGATGAAAGCATGCCAGCGGTAGAAGATTGGATCTCTCATGGCAGTAGCGGAATCTCCAATAACTCCAAAAGATTCTAGATGTCTATGGTCGGGATCGTGAATATACGACAAAAATACGTGGCCCATGTTATGTAAGTCTCCATAGAAGTCTCTGTTTGGTGACAAGATACTTGCCTCGACCATGTTTCCTAAAATATCGATGCCTTCAGTTTCGTTAAGTTGTACAGTACGTCCATTTCTGTCTGTCACTGAACCGGAATGTATGGCGGCGAAAATTCTGTCTCTCCATCTCTTCAAGTCGTCTAAATCAATGATCACACTATCGACTTCTCTGCGCAGATTTTTTAGTCTCTGGTTTTCTACTCGTGCTGGCCAGGCTCTGCTAGATACTAAACTGTCCAATTTGGGAAAATAGGCTTCTTGAATCGGAGAGTCCCAGTCAATAAAACGCTCTGTTCGCTTCATCTTGTTGCATAATCGTTCAAAATTATATCGAGCGATGATTTGCTGGTGCATGTAATAGAATAATTCACCTCTCCTGTTCTTATTTACCACGCTTAGTGCAGCTTCGAATGGGTAGACCAGATGCCAATGCCAGTGATGAAGATTCAGCCCGATGTCTTCCCTGAAGTACGCTAAACGATGTTCTTCTTCCAAGTCGGAAGCTGTATAATCTTTCGGAATTTCTATAGGGGTCCGGGCTCCTTCTGGTACAACGTTCGCATCTTCTCGAGCTTCCCCAAAAACTTTACTGTCCACATACTTATCCGGGAAAGTACGGATAATTGATGGAACGTCCAAGTCTTGCGTGTCGGATCTATGAAGAATGGCAACGGATAAACAGTAATTGAACAAATAAGGGTTTACCCGATCTCTTGCGTAAACAGCAACTGCAATTAAGTCCTGGACATTTCGTACTCCCAAAAAGATATCGATCAGTCTTCCGGCAATTCGTCGGTGTTTCGGAATGAAAAGACTGAAGTTTTCGTCCCGTGCCAGTTCCAGAATTTCGCCTAAAGATGGAATGGATATTTTGCTAACTGGAATTTGTTCTGAGGCTTGATCTCCGAAACGGTTCGTGACTTGGGCACCGATAGGTTTGTATTTGTCGTTCAGATACTCGACTGGAACACTAAACACTTTTTTCCCGTCGCCTTTTGGCATGAAAACGGGTTCTTTGGGACGGTCGAAGAGCAACAAAAGGTCTTTCTTGTCAGCCATGTTGACCGAATAATTTGATTGTACGAGTTTAACGTAAAGGTTTTTACTGTGTTACCCTGAGTAAGACTGCTTAGGTAATGTGGGTCGAATAAGTCGCTGTGCTATTTTATAGTAAAATCTGAATGATAATTTACCGCAGGATACATGTAAAATGCATTTTCTCATGGGACGTTGTGTTGTTTTTTTAGGTGGTTTTTTGATATGAATTTCTTTCAATAACATGTTTACGAGTTCATAATAATGCAAATAATATTTGTTTTAACTATTTTTTAAGAAAATAAGTAAAAATTATAAAGATATAATAATAGTTTACTCTTTTCATATATTATAATTATTTTTTTATTTCATATATTTATAAATCTATATCTATACTAATATATAAAATCCTTAAGTGACTGACATACTGATTAATCACGATCCTGCTCAAACCACTCAACGTAAGAAGCTCAATTTTGGCATACAGGTTGATTCTAGGGTGTAGAGGTTCGATAAGAAGGGATTTTTTGAAATTCCAGTTCCAAGAGGGTGAAACCATCCCTCAAATATTACAATATATTTTTATTTAAAAAACGGTCAAGTTTCCGAAAAAACGCTTAAACACGTATATTTTATTTTGTTGTTTTACATATTTTAAGATTTTTTATAAATGTATACAGGGTGTTTCATAAAATATGACCATTGAGTAATCACGATTCTGCTTAAACTGCCTGACGTTTCAAGCTGATTTTTGGCAAACGGATTGACTGTGGGGTGTAGAGGTTTGATAAGGAGGGGTTCCTCGAATCTCAAATTCCAAGAGGGTGAAAACGCCCCTCAAATATCACAATATTTGTTATTTAAAAAACGGTTAGTCTTTCGGGAAAACGCTTGGACACGCATAATTTATTTTGTTTTTTTGCTTATTTTGATTTTTTTTAAAAATCATACAGGGTGTTCCAAAAAGTTGGGTAATTTCTTAACCACGATTCTGCTTAAACTGCTTGACGTAAAAAGCTTATTTTTGGCAGACGGATTTTTCGAAAGTCAAATTCCAACGAGATGAAACTACCCCTCAAATATTACCAAGTTATATAATAATATCGCCATATTGTTTTTTCTCATGCTGACATAAATGTGAGAAAATTTTAGCCAGTTTGTATGTTAATGGAAATTCTTGCTTTGCTTTATCATCACCATTACAAATGATTAATTCGACGCGAACGAAGTCGCGGATACACGCTAGTCATATTATATTATTTTATTATTAACGGACATTTTGTCTTCAATATTTTTATTTTTTTGTAGCTTTAATTCTACAGAACAAAATTTTGACAGAAACATTTAATATTTTGCTTTAAGTTCTTGTGAAAATATAAAAGAAAATATGTTAGGGTTATAATAATAGAAATTTATTAAACTATAAATGGGCATTTTTCGCTATATGTGTTATTCTTTAATATTAAGTTACCCGATTACAGTTGGAGGTTGGAAATTTTGGTGTTACAACAGCAAAATCAAATTCTATTTTACCACAATACACTATAAAACACTATTACTTCGAAATAAAAAATATATACAGGGTGAGTCTTAAATAAGTGTAAATATTTTTAGGGGTAATTAGTATATTTCGATCCCAGAACAACGAAAAAAAAAAGAGTTTTTTTCCGCAAAAAAAATTGAATTTTTTTTAGTTTTTAGTTAAAAAACATAATTTCTTGATAATATGGAAACATTGGTAGTAGATTTGAAATTCGAGACAAAATATTTTTTTGGAAATAGATTTGTGTGTCTGGAAACGTTCTATCCTTTTTTAATTTTTCTATAATTCTTATTAATTTTTGACAAGTTTTATAACAATTTTCAGTAAATGACGTCTAGAGATTGAGCTCGACAAAATTATTCTCGATTTTCCCAGCCGTCTTTTTTTTTCGATTATACCGTATAACCTATTGTCATATTTAATGGTCAATAAAATATTTAAGCCACACATTTACGGGAAAATATGGTATAAAATTTGCCTTTTATTTATCATATTTTTGCTGCAATTCTACGATTTATATTCCGACTACATAATATATCAATTAAAATTAAAAGCAGTTTCAAACTATAAACCTAAAATATTGTTTTATTTTATATTTGTCATTTTATTGTATAAAGCATGAACATATAAAACACTGATAGGTATATTTTTAAAATGGACATGAAAACCCATATTACTGTTCAATAGGATTTATAGCACGCTAACTTTTTTGTAAAATGCCATTGTATCTTCGAAAAATACAACAATATAATATTTACCGTGTTTATACAGTGTGTTGAAGATACAGTTCATATCAAATAAACTTTGAGTCACGTGATTAAACTTGACCGGCGCTATGCTCACTTTTATATATTTTCTTTTAATCAAAATATTTTAGGAAACAAAAATAAATTAATTATAAATATACAGTTATTATTTACATCAACAAAACTCACCTTCTTAAAAGCACTTAAGGGACATAAAGGGTCATTAATATCGCTTTCCCGTTTAACATATTCTAATAAAGTTACGATGAGTTTTTTTACGGCTATTAAGCTATCTTGATCTTGTATACTTCGCACTAAAAGATGTACTAAAAAGATCTCTGCTAGTATTTTTTTTAAGCCCACAATACAATTTATTTAAACCAAAAACTCGTAATACGAAACTAAAGTGTCAAAACGAATGATAGTGTCAGAAATAAATAAATAAATGTGGCAACTTGATATTTTTTGCAGCAGAGCTACGACCTGAATCCCTAGCGAGAAATTTGAATGCCAGTTAGTCAGCCAGGCGACGAAAATACCTAAGTAAAACATATTTTATTTTAATAAGTAAGAAAAATCCTATTTGTCTTTTTTTAAATTTTTATATATTTTCCATAATTAGTTTAACAAATTCATGTGGGTTTTATTGATCATTCATTAATGCAAGGCAATTCCTTTCAAATCAAATAGCTACTGTCGTAAATTGCCCATACGATCTGAGTTTGAAGTACAAACATACATTATTTACCTTAACAAAGTTAACAAGCGTCTTGGCTACCCTTAGAGAAAATGTCAGGTCGATTTGTGTCGCAGAAAAGTAGGTTGATTTTTTCCTTTTAGATATAACTCAATTTTCTATTCTATTCTTTGTTCAAGAAATGTCATGTTGTGTATAAAATGTGTTTTTTATTATAAATAGAACCAAGTACAGAAGAAATTTCATTTAAAGTTGATCATACATTTTTATTATGTTTTATTCCTGATAAAAGTCTGTATATTTCATCAAAGTGCTAATAAATGACTCAAAATTTAACTCTGTTTTTTTATTGAATGCATACAGGGTGCTACAAATTCGAGGTACGAGCATTGGTATCTCGGAATCATAATAGATATGAAGATGGTTAATTGGGACAAAGTTGTGCTTCGGCATGTTATCAAAAAAGTTTCAAAAATTTCAAGAATGGGTTTTGGACTGGGTTTTTGAAAAAAAAAGTTTTTTTTTTGAAAAAAAAAATTAGTTTTTAAAACCATATATTGTACTGAAGTTTTTCCATTTACGAAATTTTGTGTTGCAATAATAAAAATAGTACTACCTTATACAGAGTGCCTAAAAATTTATTTTAAATAATCACTACCTTCTCTTCAAGTTTTCGTCATCTCTTTAAGTTTTCGTAAAAAAGGCATTTTCTTATAATGTAGACCTCATTTATCAATATATCCATGGAATTATGAGGAGGTCTAAATTATTAGAAAATGCATTTCCTACGAATACTTGAAGAGATAGGTAAAAAATGATATAATACAATTTGATACACAATTAAATTGTGCATCTGATCCTCGTAAAATATACAGGGTGTTCTATTTACTTTAAAGAAGTTATTGCCATAAAGGTAGTAATTATTTTAAATAAATTTTTAGACACTCTGTATAAGGTAGTTTATTATTGCAACACAAAATTTGGAAATGGAAAAACTTCAGTATGATATTTGGTTATAAAAACTTAAGCCTAGAGAAATGATGCGTTAAAAGTTAGGTACTGCATTTTCACAAAATCGTAAATATTTCAAAAAACGGCAAACCTTAATCAAATTTACCTTTATTTTAATCGTAGAAACTAAAAATGTAATAATATACAGGGTGTTCCATTTTAAAAAAAATACAACTTTGCTAAAATGCTCAAAAAATGCTAAAAATGCTCACTTACTATCATCATCATCATCATCATTAGCCGTTTGTCGTCCAACTTTGGACATAGGCCTCTCCCAATTCTCGCCACCGATCTCTGTTCTGTGCTGTGCGTGTCCAATGTAGTCCTGCCACTCTTTTGAAATCATCGTACCATCTCATTTGAGGGCGTCCTCTCATTCGCTGTCCTAAGTATGGCCTCCATCGCTGAATTACCGTGTTCCATCTATTGTCGGATTGTCTAACTGTATGTCCTGCAAAGCTCCATTTCAATCGTGCCGCCCTGGCTGTCACATCCTCAACTTTAGTCCGCATTCTTATCCAGCTATTTCTTTTTTTATCCTTAAGTTTAACTCCTAACATAATTCTTTCCATGGCTCTTTGGGTCCTCGACAGTTTTTCTATATTTGCCTTTGTAAATGTCCATGTTTGGCAGCTCGTATGTAAGGATTAAAAATATGCATTGGTTGAAAATTCTGCTTCTCAAATATTGGAAATTTCTGATTTTTGAGTATCCACGATAATTTCCGAATCCAGCCCATGCCAACTTGCTCCGCCTAGTAATTTCGGCCGTTTGGTTTTCTTTTCTAACTTGATCACCTGTCCCAGGTATATGTATTCTTAAATTTTAATTACAAATTAATTTTGACATTAATTACATAATATTTTGAAGTAATCTCAAAATATTATGAAAAGGAAAACTGTATGAAACTCAAAAAACCTAATCGAGTATCGAGTTATTTTATCTCAAAAAAAAAGTTAAGGTTGCGTTTTAATACAAAACAAACAAAAATGCGTTGTTTTAAACAAAAGACCGCATACAAAAATCTATAAAATTGAACAATTTCTTACATTCACCCCTCCAGAATCTTCCTGCATTTATTATTATATTTACCAATATAACTTATGTATAACAA